GAGCGTATTACCATAGATGCTCTCAAAAGCGCTCTGGCAAACTCTACCTTGAATGAGAGACCAGGGTTGTTGATTCACCTTTCAGCATTTTTTGGAGCAGATTTTTTTTTTCCTTGAGGCTAATTTCTCTGTTCTGTACACCCTGTGGTTTCTCCCCTTCTGATGGCTAGTGGTTAGTGAGTGTCAGTAACTTCAGGGTTCTCCCATAAAGAAACAGCAGCTGTACCCAGAGAACTGGCGAAGAACGCATTCTGAGGTCGAGGATGGAGACTTTGATTATCCAGGTCCTGGCTGGCCTCAGCTCCATTAGTCTAGGTCAGCGGTTACCAACCTTTCGGACTTCACGGACCACCAGTTGGCGACCGCTGGTCTGGGCAGTCAAGAGCAGCTGTGCCTGCTAGAGCTCTGCAGGTTGGAAGCGTGGCTTGTTGAAGCTAGGTTAGCTGACACACAGGCCCGTTAGCCACTAAAAGGAATATGTTTTATCTTTTAATTCTTTTTTTTTAAACTTGAAAAGTCTCAACCTATTGTCAAAAGTTTTTTATGTCTCTAATATATATTATTCCTCTTTAGACACCTGTCCTTCAAACTTATTAAACTTGAGCATGTGCTTATTAAACTTGAGCATGTAAAGAACTACCTGGTGGTCCTCTTACGATGCAGAGCTCGCTCAGTGGGTCTGGCCAGGGCCTGTGTCGGCAACCCTAGCAGACCTCAGGAGACGCTGCACTGCTCGTCTAGAGACCCTTTTGAAGGGGATTGTTTTTCTTTTCTTTTTAATTTTTTAAAAATTAATTTCTTTTCTAATCACAATTGCCGTACTCATCCCAGGCGTACAACATAGTTATTAGACATTTATATACCATATGAAGTGGTCACCCTAGTAAGTCCAGTACCCATCTGACACTATACATAGTTATTACAGTATCATTTACTATCAGAGGCCCGGTGTATGAATTCGTGCACCAGTAGGGTCCCTCAGCCTGGCCTGTGGGATCAGGCCAAAACCGGCTCTCTGACATCCCCTGAGGGGTCCCAGATTGCAAGAGGGTGCAGGCCAGGCTAAGGGACCCCACTGGTGCAAGATCAGTGTCAGGGAGGGATGCGGGAGATTGGCCAGCTGGGGAGGGACCACAGGAGGGCTCCAGGGTGTGTCCAGCCCATCTCGCTCAATCCCGATCTATCAGCTGGACCCCAGCAGCAAACTAACCTGCTGGTCAGACATCTTCCCCCTGGTGGTCAGTGCACATCATAGTGAGCAGTTGAACTTAGCATATCATTAGCATATCACGCTTTGATTGGTTGAACGGATGACCAGACACTTAGCATATGAGGCTTTTATTATATAGGATGTTTTCTGTGTGGTACTTTACAACCCATGACAGTTTTTATAACTGGCAATTTTTACTTCTTACTCCCTTTTTGAGTGTCAAAGTGCTAGGACATTTAAGCACCGGCCTGTTGGAGGGAGAGTCAGTGTAGGCCCTTAAGGAGCGTGGGGTTCTCCTGTTATCTTGAGTGCCCTGAGTTGCTGAGATTCAGCCAGAAACTGATTCTTAGACGCTGCTCAGAGGTTTTGACTTATTCTTGAGCTCCCCCTGGTGGCTCAATGAAAAATTAACTTTAAGACTGTCAACAGCAATGGGTAGGAAAGGACAGCTTGACTTGAACACCGTAAGTCAATCAAAATGTCCATTATCAAGAAATCTGAAGAGAAACGGTGGCAGTGGGGAAAGTGTCCTTCTAAAAGGAATCAAAATATTTTTTAAAAGGAGCTCAGCATGCTTACAGCTGAATGTGCATGAATACACTTGAAGATCATATGATTTCTGTCCCTTTTATCTAGCCATTGTGGGCACACTTGAGGCTGAAAAGGAGAGAAGGAAATCCGGGCTGTCATCGAGAGTTCAGTTTCGGAACCAAGTTGCTGAGCCCAAGTATACTAAACAGATCACGCTGAGCAGGCAGAAGCAGAAGGCGTGTATGGAGGAAACACTCTGGCTGCAGGTGAGGCTGGCGGGCAGTCAAAACAGTTTCTTTTAACGGGGACAAGGGTTGGGCATTATGGTGGCATGTATAGGTTTTGAAATTTATCCTAGAAACCCATTATTCAGTAGGAAATGAAGCATTGTTCTGGAGTTTCCCAGTAGCGGTTACCCCATGCTGACCTGTATCTCTGCAATCGTTCAGGAAAACATCAGGGATAAGCTGCGCCCCATCCCCATAACTGCCTCCGTGGAGATCCAAGACCCGAGCACGCGGCGGCGAGTGAATTCGCTTCCAGAGGTTTTTCCAATTCTGAATTCCAACGAGCCCAAGACAGTCCATACAGATGTAAGCCTTTCTGACTTCTTTTGCCAAAGGTTTTGCCATATTATTATGTTAAATCAAATGTCTTTAAAGGCACAAGAACTAGTGATGTGTTTTAAAGGTCATTTCTTTGTATTAAATAAGCTTTTAAAAATATCTGCAAAGTTGAGAGATCTGTTTCTCTGATTAGCCATGAATGTAGAAGCATACGGAATACCACTTGGAGCCAGAAAGTATTTTTTTTTTTTTTTTTTTGGCCACTGCAACTTATTGAAAGCATAATTGGCAGAACTTCTTATTCTCGTATCAAGTTTCTCCTACAGCTGTATGAAGAGAGAAAAATACATTGCATTTTGCCAGTAAGAACATTAAGATGTAGAAAACCAACTGTTGTTAGTCTGGACATTAAAATCAAGGAATATAAAAATTCAGCAAGTCAAAAAAGTAGCAGCTGTGAAAGAGTCATTTAGTGCTAAGTGTACCCTACAATCTTAGGAGAAAAATCTATATTATATGTCTCGCTGCATGCCTATGAGGTGGGGCATGTTTGCTAGGTTTTAAGCTGGTTGAGAGGCAAGCGTAGGCTGGAGCTGTGACATCCTAATTGGACGTTATGCACTTGCTGTCAGAATCCCGTCAGTACCACAGTGCCCACTCCGAGGCGCCTGGGCCTGGTGGTCCGCTGATGAAGCTTTTTAGAAGTGAGTGCTCACCGTGTTAGAGTAGGAGCTGATGCCTAGATCTATACATTGTCAGTCTTTTTTTTTTTTTATCCTCACCCGAGGATAATTCCTAGAGAGAAGCGGGGGGGAAGGAGGGGAGACGGAGAGAGAGAGAGAAACATTGACGTGAGAGAGACACATCGATTGGTTATCTCCTGCATGCACCCAACCAGGGCTGTGGATCTAACCTGCAACCGAGGGACATTCCCTTGACTGGTAATCGAACCTGAGACCCTTTGGTCTGCAGGCCGACACTCTAACCCAGTGATGGCGAACCTTTTGAGCTCGGCGTGTCAGCATTTTGAAAAACCCTAACTTAACTCTGGTGCTGTGTCACATATAGAAATTTTTTGATATTTGCAACCATAGTAAAACAAAGACGTATATTTTTGATATTTATTTTATGTATTTAAATGCCATTTAACAAAGAAAAATCAACCAAAAAAATGAGTTCGCGTGTCACCTCTGACACACATGTCATAGGTTTGCCATCACTGCTCTAACCACTGAGAAAAACTGGCCAGGGCCACATTGTCAGTTTTTATTGTCCTTATACTTTTGTATATTTTCATATATTTTTCATGTTGATTATCACATTAATATTTCTCATGTATATTCCCAGCTCTGTAGTCATGTTAAACATAACAGACAAGGAGACAGTATCCTAAGTATTTATCAGGGTGATTATCGAGCACTATTAGCACTGCACCTAGCAAACATACTCCTGGTTCTTAGGCGGGTGCTCAGCCACTGAGCCACATTGGCTGGGCTCCAAGTGTCTTAAAACACAGTTCTGTTAGACCAACGGGGCATGGCCTGCATGCCTAAGTGTGTCTGAAGCTTGGCTTCTGCTCCCGTAACTGTCACAGGCAGAAATGAACCATGAGGAGAAAGCCAGTCACCAGCCTCTGTGAGCCCCAAAGGACGGACATTTCTGACCATGGTCTTGTTTTCCTCCAGGTGCACTTCTTAAAAGAGGGATGTGGAGATGACAACGTGTGCAACAGCAACCTTAAACTAGAATACAAGTTTTGTACCCGGGAAGGAAACCAGGACAAGTTTTCTTATCTCCCGATGTAAGAGCTGCTCTGTGGCCCCAGGCGATCGGACTCCGGCTGTGCGGGGGCTTTTGTGAAAAAGGGGCTTCCTGAAAACATACTGAGGCCTTTGTCATTTTTCTCTTCTTTAATAGTCAAAAAGGTGTTCCAGAACTAGTCCTAAAAGACCAGAAGGACATTGCTTTAGAAATAACAGTGACAAACAGCCCTTCTGACCCAAAGAACCCCACCCGAGATGGCGACGACGCGCACGAAGCCAAACTCATCGCGACTTTCCCGGACACTCTGACTTACTCCGCGTACAGAGAGCTGAAGGCCTTCCCTGTGAGTGCAGTTGGAGACCAGCTGGGAGGGGGAGCCGCCCTGTGGCCAGGGAGCCTGTTGTGATCTCGTGTGTTTTCTGTTGTAGGAGAAGCAGCTGAGTTGTGTTGCCAACCAGAATGGCTCACAAGCGGACTGTGAGCTCGGAAATCCCTTTAAAAGAAATTCCAGTGTAGGTCCTGCCTTCCCATATTGAATTTTACTGTTTTTACTGCCATGACAATGTTGATATGTTTGACCCGTGCTCATGGCTATTTTTATTTTTTAGGTTACTTTTTATTTGATTTTAAGTACAACTGAGGTCACCTTTGACACCACGGATCTGGATATTAATCTGAAGTTGGAAACGTAAGAGTCACTTCAACCTTTCCATTCAGAATTATTTTGTGAAAACACAGCCAGTCGGCGGATTGGCCCTGATCTACCTCATAAAAGAAGTGTAATTGTAGTGAGAAAACTGACTGTTAAAATAAAACCCTATTGTTTCCTTTTCATTTTCAGAACAAGCAATCAAGATAATTTGGCTCCAATTACAGCTTCTGCAAAAGTGGTTATTGAACTGCTTTTATCGGTCTCTGGGTAAGTGTTTGTGTTTAGCATAACAAATCAGTGTTTGAAAGAACCACTTACAATCCTCACTAAAACTGGTGTTTTTTAATTTAACAGAGTTGCCAAACCCTCCCAGGTGTATTTTGGAGGGACCGTCCTTGGTGAGCAAGCTATGAAATCTGAAGATGAAGTGGGAAGTTTGATAGAGTATGAGTTCAGGGTGAGTCCTAGCATGGGTCCTTTTATGACAGACACTGGAAGCTAACATGTGCTGACTAGGGTCTCCAATCTGTAATTTTAATAAGTCATATTAATAAATAAGCCTGGTAAATGCTCAGTTACTGACACGCACTGCTACAGGGGAAGTCCTGTCCTCCAGAACAGAGAACAACACAGGACTTTGTTCAGAATCCAGTTCCGTTTGCTTTCCTTATCAGAGAGTTTGAATGTCTGTGTGGTATAGACAAAGGG